GTGACACATTAAATGAAAACTAACACCAGGACTTAATAACCATAATAACCATGTCTTTCTTGTAGAAATGTCTTCTCAAGGTTGAGGCACTGCAGCATTTCCAGACGGACAAGAATTTCTGATTGCATTGATGCATGAATGAATAGACACAATGTATCAGGCAACTTAAGTAACAAGGTTTCCAAGATTAGCTGTGATGGCAAGGGATTCGACACTGCCTTCAATAAAAGAAGTTTAAGACTTATTTTCATGACCTGCCGCTCCACACCAACCAGGGTAAGTGAGGTGAGCAGATTTTGATGAAACCACCAGTCACTTAAACCAACCAAACCTGCCAGAAGATGCTGATCCTCCAGCATGCTGGAAGGAATAACAAATCAAGTTTCACCTCTTAGGCCAACTGGTCTCCAAGTATCTCACCAAAACTGCTTGATCAGCTCCTGTATTCTTTTAGAGTGACAGCAAAATATTAAGGCCTCTGTGGTGTAATCTGAGAGGCACAAAAACCTAACAACTTGGAATTATCCAGTATACTTCTGATAATGTTCATGGAGGAATGTATAATAGGACTCATAGTACAAATAGTAAAAACTAATATTTCAATATGGTAAATTGTATACAAAATATACATTTTCTAAGATAAGCAAGGTAAATCTGTCATTGATGTATTCATATTTCTTAGGTATCACTTATGTATTGTACCATTGAATATATTGACAACATTATTTTTGTACTATCTTGTTCCATAGTATTTCTCAGATACATTGTCAAATGAATTATGGGAATTAATATCGATTACCTATTACTGAAAGGTTGAACAATAAAAACAGACTTCTAATTTGCTTTTTTCAAATGTAAAGTCAAAGACACCAATCCCACAGACATTTGTCTCACCTATGATTATTATGGCTTATCATTGTGAGTTTGGGACATTATGGCTTACTTCTGTCAGTAAAATGGACATATAATGTATGTCTTACAAGGAACGTCTTTCAGGGTCATGGTATACATCAAAAAAAGAATTAAAAGTTATTTGAGACAGTCAACTGGTCTGCACTGTGAAACAGCAAGAGATAATTAAAAATATGTTTTATTATGCCCAGAGAGTACAATATGAATAATATAATGTAAATTATCATACGGCTGTGTGAGAAGAGCTGCAATAATAGGAAGAACATACACATTTTATGAACGTGAGTTATTTTATTTACTTAAATCATTTCAAAGGCAGGAATTGCATTTCAGTCTTTATGAGAAGACATTCTGCGCTGTTACTGTGAATCCTTTGCAAGATTATAGCCTTTCAGACACAAACTTTTGGTTCAATAAACTCAATAATAAATTTGATGAAAAATATTCTAAGCAAGAAACACTGCAGGGCCAAAAAAAAAAAAAAGACCTTAAACTTAAGCGCATCTTGCTTTTCTAACGCATGAGCGCATATTGTATTGAAAACGGTGACGCAACCAGGGGAAATATCTTTCCCAAAAGGGGCACCAATTTCTTGCCTTATCCCCCCACCAATAGCTATAGTGCTTTCAATCCACTTTTTGCTGCTGTCAGCCCCTGGAACTTTCTTTATTGCACCCACTTTCTGCAAAGTACAGAAAAAATGTTCTGGGCTTTATGCACTGTAACGTCTGCATCTCAGCGGGCTGCATGCCTCATTTGCTTCGAATTATATTTCCTGGTGAGAAGCCTGTGTGCTTAAGAGTAATTCTGTCTAAATGGCACTGTTAGTGTAGAGATAGGAGAGTTTTTTTTTTGCTAACAAAAAGGAGAGGTAGACTAACTGTCAATGGTGATCAAAGGTTGCTATCTGGAGATATCTTGACTTATAAAGCTTTTGAAAGTAGATTAAACGCCTTTGTGTGCAGATCTGCTTTTCAGGATGCTTTGTCATACTGCAATACACTGGGTGCAAGTGTCTTTTTTTTCTCAGATCACTTAAAACAAGCAAAAATGCTTAACAAATACTGTATATCAAAGCCAATTGCCACTGTGATGTATTAAGTCCTTGCACCAGACTGTCACTCTGTGCACACAAACTACTAAAGCAATGCTTTATTTACGTTCCCTTACTGCAGGGGATTGGGCTGGCACACAGAGTCAATACCAGCCTGTTGTTTTAAGTGATGTTTATTGATTGAAGTTTTAGCCAAGCACACAGTAGTACTACCTGGAAATCAAGGATAACAGTGGAAGGAGTAGCACAGGTGAAACAGAAACACAGTGATTCTCTTCAGGATTTTAACAAGCCCTAGTCTCCCCCTGCTTAGTCCTTATCACACACCCCTATAGACAGACATTAAAAACCACCTCACTCTGTGCCTGCTGAACAATGCAAAACAACAAGCCTCTAAGAGATAAGATCACTTTATTAGCCATATACAATTTCTTGCACTAGGAATCTGTCTTTTCACATACACCAGCTTGCTCTCCATGAGACACACCATTTATACAGTGCCCCTGGAGCAGTTGGGGTTTAGGGCCTTGCTCAGGGGCCCAACGGAGTAGGATTCCTCTGCTGGCAGTGGGATTTAAACCGGCAACTTTCCAGCCACAGGCGCAGATCCTTAGCCACAGAGCCACCACTCTACCACTGCCTTGAATGAATTCATAAGAAAGTTTGGCTAATTTTACTTGCTGCCCTAACCACCAATCCCACAGACAATTCTTTATCTTGTAACAAAATAATTGCAAAAACATTTCTGAATCCATCAAGGAAGGGATACTTCTGTCGGATGCAATTTTCACCACTCAATATTTAAAGATTTTGTTTGTGCTTTAAAGTAAAAGGGCAACAATATTGTATGACAATTGACAATGATGTGCCTGTCAACAGATTTTTCTTGTTCTTTGATTACTTATTGAAAAATTATGTGTCAAATGTTTCCTGCCTGTTCCTGTTTCTTTTTATTTTTCATACTTCTTTTACTGTGTAAGTAAAAATAGCTTCTGTGAAGGTATCTGAGACATCTAATGATTGGGAAACTTGGAAACAAAATAGTGTTGTGCAAAGCTGGGAAAAAAATCTTTTGAAGACAGAGTGAAAATGTGTCGAGTAGGGAAGTTGCACTCAATTTGATCATTTTAATTTTTAGAATTGATTTGATATAATTTAATCTGTGTTGTTTTGTGACTTTGATGTTCAGTATATTAAAAGAGGATTCAAAAAGCAGCAAGTTCAAACGTTTAGACATTTAAAAACATCTGATGTCTAGCTGTCAGACCATTGAAAAAACATTCAAAACCACAACCCAGAAGACCCTAAAGCAGTTAAGTTAAAATTAAACTAGCAAATGTGGGTTTCACAATAAGCTAGCAGTTAGCAATAGCAATTACTGTGCCAGTCACTCTCTTACTTACCAACACTTTAATGTTCTAGTTTACCTGGATCCCATAGTTGTGTTTAAAAACACAGCCTGCTTATTCCTTAGTAAACCATCATCATGTCCTGATTCTACAAACACAACACTATCATCAAATATAGCCTGCAGGTTTACTCATGCTGCAATGTGTTTCTTTAACACCTGCACACACTGAAATAATAACAGTGCATTCTGTGTCTCTAGTTCTTTCATCTTCTTTGTTTGTCAGTTAAGATCCCCTTCTGTATTTCCCTTTAAATCAATTCTAATCTGTTTTATTATGAGCCTGTGCTCATTTAACATTCACATTTCTCCTTTTTTTTGGAAACAAAGTAAAACAAAGTTCTTCATTCCTCCAGCTGCCTCACTCCTTCAGATTTATCTGTAGGTGGATGTGGCCTCACACTAAGTTTGTTGTTTTTATTTTTGTAAATAGTACAGTATTTCAATTTTGTCCCGTGGCAAGTTTTAACAATCAAGGCTTTTAGGGAAGCATTAGTACAAGGTATATGCATTTAATTCCATTTTGAGGCAACTTTAAAAAGTGATCTTGTTCCAAAGCATCTGGTGCACAAGGGGCCATCTGGAGACCTGAGCGGAGTTGAGTGTGTGTTGGCGAGCCTGTGCATTTGTGAGGGGCTGAGTGACATTAGTACTTATGTATTGCTTCAGGTTTAAATTGATACAATATTCCTCACAAATCCCACAGCATCTGAGTTGAAATTCAACCTGATGCGAACACTGCAAGTCTTCTCAGCTCCTATCACCTGAAAGCTCCTCAAGCCCTCAATCATGCATTATTCAGACCCTCACGCACATATGCAGTCCAATCTTCATTCCAGAAGGGCCTTTGCAAAAACACCACCCCCAAGCGATCAGCATGCTTGCAAGTCACCCATTATTTTCAACTTTGGTACAGTATCTCCACAGACGGCATTTTATAGCCACTCTGTCATTCTGGAACCCTGGGAGAGCTGATATTGCATTAAGAGAGTCAGTGAGGTAAAGACGGGTTCTCGGCTCAGTATGCACAACATGCTTGCAGAACTATACGGCACTGGCCGTCACTGAGCTACCAATGAATTTTTTCCCCAAGATGGTAAGAGCACTGAGAGGAGATGAAGGCTAAGAATGATATCGACCCAGTCATCAAATCCAACCTTATAAATGATCAAAAAACCAAACATAAAAAATTCTCTAGCATTATCAAGGTGTACAACTTAATATACAACAAAATTAAGTCTACTGTATAATCCGTAGATCTATCAGCCCCTGTCCCAGAACGCCACTGTATTCACCTCTGTGTGTGCAGTTGTGCACAGAAATTCACACAGATGAAGCACGTCAATCTGCCAGCTGTCAGAAACAGTTACAATATATTTTATGACACGAGTTACAATTGCGAGCAGACCCCCAGGCAGGCTGATTTCAGAAGCTGATCAAGCCATTTCTTGAAAGAACGTGGAGAGGCAGTACCCAGGACCACTGCTTCGTGTGTAATTCCATTTCTGCTACTGTGCTAAATCCTTTCCTTCTAAGTGCTGTTCCCCTGCGGGGACAGAGCTGTTTGATGGCTGCCCATGTGGCAAGGCTCACTTCCTGGGGTGTTAGCGCTGTAGTGGTGCCTACCTGCGTGCTCAGGCTGGCGCCTTCGATGACAGTGACCCTGTTGCCACAGCTGGCCCACACTGAGTCCTCCAAGGCCAGCAGGGTGCGAATGGGCTCCGTACCAACGCTCACCTGTCGACAGGACCCTGGGTCCCACAGCTCCTCTGCACATAAACCAAAGATAAAATGACATTCATTCATTTGGAGATTTACAGTTCAAGATACAGTACTTTATTGCACAAATGCCCTAGGATTTCCAAATGTTTGTTTCTCCTACCAAATTAAATTTAAAAAATGAAAGGAGTTGTCCATACATATTGTTCAAGGTAGTTGAACAATTACCAATGCAATAGGTGATATTTTAGGGTGCCCAAGTGGCATACTGTATAACCCTCCCAGTACTGTGATACAAGAGAGGAATTGTCATATTTTAATGAAAGGCACAATTAAAATAAGACAATTGAGCTTGTAAATTGCTCATATCCTGATTGTCATCACTTAATTAATGTGTGCAGCAAACACATCACACTGATCAGCTCAGGTGGGTAGCTGCGTCAGCATGCGTAGTCTGCAAAGGAACAAGTAATAGGTTTATTCCATGCTGAAAAGAGAAGAAAGAAAAACACTGTTTTGGCTGTGAAGCCTTCTTCAGGTGTGAGCTAATCAGCTGCTCACTTTTCCTACCACTGATCACACTAAACTAACAGTTGATCACTGTGACTCACTAATTCCTTAGGTCAGTTTATTGATGAATGATTATTAATGAACAGAAGATAAATTCCAGCTCTCAAGTAATACTGCAGAATACAGCAGAAATGCAGCAGAAAGGAAACTTATAATACCTACGGTACAAATGAATTTGACCCTGTATGATCATTTGTATTCCATAACCCAAATACTACAGAGTGATTTTGTGCCACATCATTAAGTAAAAATGCAATTTTTAGTGAAGATGTAGTAGTTAATGTACAGTATGTTCTTGTTGCTTTCCTTTTAAGAGCAAGTTTAATATCTCCTCCTGTTTCAAAGTGTCCTGGGGATTGTGTGGCCATGTGCTCCCCCTGCAAATGCTGAGTGACTGACTGACTAGATGCCCACACCTTCACCTTCATGGCAGTCTGCACACGCAGGTTTCTGAACAATGCAATCAAGGTGTGGAGGAAAAGGGTTTTCATGTTCTGTGTATAGATATACAGCTCCCCAGCTCTCTGAGGATTGCTAGGGGATACATTAAGGAAGTAGATGTCCATATGAAAGTTACCTTGCACAATATACTGTAAGGAGGGCTGAAGCATTTCAGAAAAATGAAAATTGGGAAAAACATGAATATAATGCCGTCTTACCAAACCAGAAACATTTCTACCACACTCTTTCATCCTGATAAAAATAGACTCCCATATAAAGCCCATAAGCCAATACAAAATGCTGTTACCCACTAAACAGGATATCTGTTTGTTTATTTAGAAAATCTGCATTCTGCAGTACTTTCCAACATTATTCTATTTTTCTACATTGAAATGAAAATAAAGCCCTCCAACAGTGCCCTCCTAGAATCTTTTTAAGTTGTCTTTGTAGAAATTATTTTGTTCAGTGTCAGAAAACAAAAATGACCTTTTTCTACTCTTTTTTAATTATAGGACCCACATGATAGTCACTGTGCAAAGGTACGTTACATAAGCCTTTGCTTCAGAATGTGTTAATGGAACAGAATTAGGAAGGAAGTGCAGTGAGCCTTTTAATTAACATTTTGAGTTGTTTACTTCTGCTTTTGAAACATTAATAGCTTTACACTGCTTTGTGATTTCCCCATGTTAATTGCCCAGCCTAATTTAAATGTCAGTCTTCTTTCTTTTAAAATTGCAAGTTGTACAGACTGGCTCCTACAATTCACGCTTCAGAAACTTCTATCAGACTGCCACTGCAGTGAAAAGTGTCTTGCAGTAAGATTTCCTCTAATGTTCCCAACAAGGCACACCAGGCTCAATTGCCTTTTAAAATACTAAAACAAAAACCGTAAACTTTGGATACAATTCAAGTCACCCTGGATAAGGGTATTTACACAAAAAAAACGAGTACATGCATGAATACAAAAGGGTGTCAAAATAATAACAACAGGATTAATATCTAATCCTACATCTTGAATACCATCTAATCGAAGAACATATGATTATGTGATCACATTTGTACTCACAGTTTTATGGGTAAAATGCATGGTGGGAATAGCACACAACATAATTTTACTAAACTTAATTGAACAAGGAAAACAGTTCCTGCAAATTGTTGTCTTCTTTGAGGTGGACACAGTTGGTATATTTTACTGCTGTCAGTATGGGCAGGCTGTGCCTAGCTTTCTAGGGCTGCTATTCATGACACACTCTGTTTTCATTTGAAAGACATTGGTGTGAGGGCACAAATCAGGTATCCTCAGTTCAACAGGCAGTTTGAAAGGGATCATTGTTAGACTGGATTATGTTTCACACGGCAGGTGATACTTGATTATTGTCTGATGTTTGAACATGTCTCACTTTATATAAAATAAGAAATAAAAATCCCATCAATGACATTGCCTACTGTATATAATAGAGCCAGGTGCTCTTCAAATCAGATTTTAAAGGGCCCACATTCATTTATTGCTTATGTTTTGTTACTAATACTTCACAGGGTGATTAAAAATAATAAAGGCAAAATATTTCTACTCATTTACTCAGTTATAACAAATTGCATACAAACCTAATTTGCAAAGACATGCAATGGAGAAATTTAGATGTGAAATTTGGAAAAAAAACCTGTGAAGCCAGGTATGGAAGACTTGCATTTTCATAATTCTCTGATGCAGGTCATTCTATTCCACTCTATCTGAGATACTTTTACTGATATATCACTAAATTTATAAAGGGAATATTTAGCTTCCATTGTATGTTGTGTTTTCCCATGCTTCTGTAAGTGTATTCATTTTATGATTTTTCTGTGAAGGACTGGAAACCCACTTTTACAGTACTCAATACAGTGCTGTCACGGACTTTGGGATGTGCTCTGGGATTCTCTACCACCTACGCCTGATTATATGAAAAATACCATCGCTGTGATTCTCTTTCCCTTTAATATTTTTCCTGGGCACCATGTAAGAGCTAAGCATTAACCTGTTTGACATTGCGCCAGAATCAATCCGAGATTATGTTGTAAGATAACCAGCAGCCAAGTGAAGTGAAAATTATTGATATGGCACTCTTTCACGTTCTGAACCTCTCATTCTGAATCAATCCCAGATCAACTCAAAAATGCTATACCTGCTTTACATCCCCCCAAGCCAACAAATTTCTATGAATAAACTCCCACCATAAATGAGAAGTAAGACCAGACTCACTTTATCACGAACGAAGATATTGTAGTGCTCCAGTTTACTTCTCTTGCCTAGAGATGTGGCAGCTCAATTGGAAAACTATTTCACAAAGTGCTTCTTTAAAACTCCATCTACAGTGTACAGTAGTTTAGACTGAAGACAAGTTCATACACATCAACTCACAGATAAACTTCACGACAAAAGTTCCTAAACCCTGTAACATTGTAAGGATTATCGGTTAAATCAGAATATTACAGGCGGCACTGAGGCGCAGGGGTTGGTATAACTGCCTCACACGCTGGGGCGCTGTCTGTGTGGAGTTTGTATGTTCTCCCTGTGTTTGTGTGGGTTTCTTCTGGGGGCTCCAGTTTCCTCCTACAGCCCAAAGACTGGTGGCTGGAAAAATTGGCTGCGGTGTGAGTGTGCGCATGTCTGTTTCTGTGTGTGCCCAGCAACTGGAAGAGATCGCCGTCTCGTCCGGGGTGTACCCTGCCTTGCGCCTGTTGCTTGCTGGCATAGGCTCCAGCTCTCCTGTATTGGATAGAGCAGTTAGAAAATAAATGAATAAATGGAAAACCCAAAATAAAAAGAGACAAACTCACCGCCGTTCTTACGGCTATAAACAGCTACCGTCCCATCTATCAGCCCAGCAAACAGGAAGTTGGCAGAATGTTTCAGGCACAGAACTGGACACCTCTCTGGGCTATGGAAGATCAGCAAGCACTGGGCGGCTGTGTCCACACTGCCATAAATGAGGATGCTGGGAATAGGAATTTCAAAGAAGACAGTTGAGGAGGCATGTTTCTGCATGACGTAACGTTTTGGGTACCACGTTCTCAGTCTTCACTAAAACAAAGTATCAGCTTGTTTGGATGTTTTAATTTGAAGAGTTAATGAAAATGAAATTGTTATTTCCATTGATTTTAAAAAGATATATGTTACTTATATTAATGAGGGAAGCTTTCTTAAGATATTTTACAAAAAAACATTTCAAGGCAGTGCTTGATGAGGCAAAGCTTCATTATGCGATAATTTATAAGATTCATTGATTAACAATTGCTTAAAAACTCCCTCTACTTCCATTTACTCAATATCATATTTCAGTGCTAAATATATTTCACATAAATGTTAACACAAAGTAGAATAAGTTGCCAACAAACATTATTAATGTTGTATTTTTTGTATTCAGCACATGGGTTTGTGAACAGTACAGCTATTGGCAGCGATTTGTTCTGCATTTTGTTTTTTCTGTGCTTGCAGTTTCAATTTTTCTACTTCTGGCAGCGGTTTTTGGCCTCTCCCTAAGCTTTTAAAATACATAACTCGGCAAGATATTGTCAGAACAACTTCAAAATGCTTCAAAGTGATTATTGACGAATCTGCAATGTAGACAGTTTCTTCAGTCTTTCTGCTCTGCAGCCCTGGTTGCTATCATGCTAACTTAGATTAACATGTGCTGGCTGCACCCATGCAGAAATTGGAACTATCTGGCAGTCCAACAAGATACAGTGCGTTTTATCTGTGAAAGCGGACAGCTTTAGAAAACAAGCTTGATTGCTTCTGTTTCGCTCAAAAAATGAGAACTGCGCTGTTGCTGAGTGCCCTCTGGTTGCTGTAACTGAAGTGTTAACAGTGTTAATGACACAAATACCATTGCAGTCCTGCTCCCTTTAATGCTGAAACAGTAATGTAAAACAAACAGTAAAAATTAACGCCTTTTAAGGTACAGCTCTTTGTTATTCATTCGTTAAGTCTTTATTTGGTATATGTACAGTATATGTATCTTTGGTCCTTTGTGGTTTGTGATGATGAGCTTCAAGCTCATGCTTAGTTGCTACTGTTTATGTGCTATATACAGTAAAAGACATATGGAACACATGCTTGCATGTCAGTCCCTCGCCAGGCTGTGCCCAGGTTAGAGTAGGAATGCAAGCTTGGGAGGAGGCTTGTAAGATCGCTCACCTGCCATCCCTCAGCCCTGCGCAGATGGTGTTTCCCACCCCGCTCATCCGCTCGCCTGCCCTGGGCTCAGCGTCCTCCGGAGGGCTGGGCTCAGTCACGTACTCCAGGCACAGGACCGGCGCCCCCACCTGGAAGGACTTGACCGCCCGCGGCGTGGGTCTGTTCAGGGAGAAGATGTCCACCTGGCCTTGACTCGAGTCGCTCCCACTGGCCACCTGCATGCAGGGAGAGAGAGAGGGGGAGAAACACACTGCACTAACTGTATGATCTGTTACACACTGCCACTAGCAGGTTTTAGCATCTGATACACTTTACCGCTGCAATTTAATTTACAGTATGCTTGGAAGATACTTATCTTCCTTTTTATTGCAATTTTGTTTCCTATGTGCTGCTGTTTCTCCTTTCTAATTCATAGCTCTAGCTATAACTACTGTACTTCCTAAGAAAACATTTTGTTGGACAGTGAATGAGAAAAAGGTGAAATGCCTAAGTCCAGCCACCAGACAAATTGTAACATGAGATGTAACAGATTAAGCACATAACCCATTGTTTCAAATGTTTTTTTCACTTGTGATCATCCATCAAAGAAGACTTTAAAGAGTAAATCATTTCCATTGTGATTTGATTATCACGCATCGTGGCTGATGTGGAGTTTGTATGTACTTAGAATGAGAAACCCAGTTTAAAAGTATTAAGGTCTGAGTCCAGCCCTGGAGAAAAGGGAGCACTTTTGTCATCAATAGTGTATTTCCAGTGCATGTACAGTATATCATACAGTGGCAAGAGAAGAGAATATACACTGTAGGCTGAAAGCATCTTCATATTCAGGCTAGAAAAGTGATTTGCCGAAATCAAGGCTTCAAGGCATCAATATTGCTTTTCCAAGACACTTTCAGATCATTACTAGAGATTCAATTATGTTACTGAAAAAATATGGATTTTTGAATTGCCATAAAATACAATGCAACATTACTTTTGTTACCTGTGACCTATAGAAATAATTGGAGTACAAATGAAATAAGTGCAAAGGTACAGGTTTAAAACTTCTTCAATATTCAAAAAGACCAATAGACTCTTATAAAGTATGATGGAGTTTGCAATACCAACATCTCTTAGAAATTATGTCAATATCATGCCATGTGGACCACAGAAAGGGGTTGTACCCAATATCTTCGTAAACTATGGTTTTTAAACCAGGGACTGACTGATACCTTCATATGAGCAAACTAAAATAAAATATTGTTAATATTTAGAGAACAGTACTAAATTGACCAGAGTTGGGAAACAGGTCCCAAAAACCCCATTACTAAAAGCTGAGAGAGGATTTTAATTCTGTGCTTATCTTTTGTGAGATGTGTTCAGGCCTTCCAAGGATTTTCTCTCTGGACTCAGACTCTCCTCAGACCTCAGTCTGGGATTCACTGCTGTACAAGATGAGCAATTTTCCAGGCCACATAAATTATTTCAGAATCTAGGTGTACTGTGTTAGCGCTAGGTGAATTTAACATGGGAGGCAGGTCCGTTGAATGAAGAAACTTCCAAATATAGTCACTGCTCTGTCATTTACATGTGATCATGCACTAGCTTTGGAAACTGTCAATGCACAGGGTCAGGGATTTTTGAAGGTATCAGATACAAAGGGATTTACAGGCAGGGTGACAGCTGTGCAGGGAGTCACAGGTACAACCAGACAAGTCTTGTAGTGGCTGAGTTTGAACAGAGAACATGAAACCCCTTTTTTCCCTCCCTGTTGCACATTGTTGCTTGATGACAACATTCTCTCACACAGGACGGTATCATCACTGCATGTTACAGAAGATTTCTGCTGCTCAGAGAGGTTTACCATCACCATCAGCATGGCTGGTGGTTTTATCCAACCATATATATGGAGGGTTTTATTACTTATTTGTCATTTCATATGAAAATTTGGATAACCATTTAAAGTATACAGTTATGTTTTCTGGATATTTATTCTGGCAATATGGGTAATGTAACTTGCTGAAGAGTACAGCAGCAGAGTCCACCCTTGGATTTTAAGTGCTCTACACTGCCACTGTTTACACTGGTATGTTAGAAATTGTAAGAATTTCTTATTAACTCAGATTCTGTAATTGATCTATCTGATCATTTAAGCAGGTCCTCCCAAGATTAATATTGCCATACTACAGCCAGCCAGTCTGAACATTATAAAATCTATTCACTAGGTACAATCTTTCATATGCCTGGTGTACTGTGCTGTAGCACAGGAGATGAGACACAAATCCACCATCAGCTCGTGCTATAGTGAGTCATCACCCTGCACAGTTTTACATTAAAAAATAAAAAAATTCACATGGTAAATAAAAGTGATCCATAGCTTCTCCAGTCTATTTTGAGGTTTAATAAAACTAGAATCAAGCATTAATCTTTATCCTTGCAAAAAACAAGACAGTAGGCTCTCTGCATTTTGATACAATTCCCATTGGAACACATTTTTTACAGTGCTTCTCAAATCATGACATTTATGTAATCACCCTTTTTGTAGGAAATGGCATTTCACATTTTACATTTTTTGATTACTCCAGATGGCAGCACAGTAGTGCAGTGGTTAGCATTGCTGTCTTGCAGTGCTGGAGTCCTGGGTTCAATTTGTGGGGTGCTGTCTGCGTTGAGTTTGTATGAGCTTTCTGAGTCCATGTGGGTTTTCTCCAAGTGATTCACTTTCCACCCACAGTCAGAAGACACACTGGTAGGGAAAGTGGGTTCTAGGAAAATTGGCCCTGGTGCCAGTGTGTGCCCTGCAATGGACTGGCGTCCCATCCAGGTTGTACCCTGACTTTTGTGCCCATTGCTTGCGGGGTTAGGCTCTGGCTCCCCCATGTCCACGTTTTGGATAAAGTGGACAGAAAATAGATGAGCAAACTGGATGGATGAATAACTCCAGATTCCAGAATCTCCAGTTACAGCTATCTGCAATCTTTTTTTATTCAAAAGAGCTAGCTACAGTAGATAACGGTAATTTTAATGGGTAAGGGATTCCTGCTGTCTCCACTTACTGAGCTGTGCTGCCTGATGAGAAACCCAGACACCTTCATATGTGTAATAGTAAGTTTGTATTGTAGGCTGATGTTGGTGGAAGCCTATCTAGATACCAAGCACAATGCACTTGAGCCTCTGCTGCTTTCTAAAGAGCCACTCTGTCGAGTTTGTACTTCTGTTGGCAAATGAATGAAGGCATTCCTGCAAACATATTTATCTTCTAAAAGATGCTGTTGCAAATCCATCCATTTTGTAACTGCTTCATCCATTTGAGGGTCTCAGCAGAGCTGGGATCTATTCCAGAAAGCAACAGGTGCAAGGTGAGATACATCCTGGACAGGGTGCTAGTCAATTGCAGGGTACACACACACACTCACACTGTATGCTCTACCAGTACGTCTTTGGGCTGTGGGAGTGAACCAAAGATACCAGATGAAACCCATGTAAACAAGGGGAAAACAAACAAATTTCAGGCAGATAGCACCCCAGGTCTAGAGTTGAACCCAGTGCCCCAGAACTGTGAAGCAGCATGCTAACCACTGCACTGTGCTGCACTGTCACCACAACCCTGTAGTTTCTATTCTACAGAAGGAAAGAAAGAACTTTTTTTCTGAAACTGAAAACATAACAAAGTGTGTGTCATATTTGGTAAAAAAAGGTTAAAATAAAGCCGATGAAAACAGAACTGAAACAGCATTGTAGAGACTGGGAAGGGGAGTGCATGTGTGTGAATACAGTATATGCTTTTCAGTCCGTGGTTAGTGCCATCAAAGATTTGAGAAGCTTGTCATTTGGGTTCATTCTTTGAAGATGGTGCAATCAGAACCAGAAATTATTTTCTTTCTTGTAGGTTTTCCATTTATGACAAAGAACTTTCTTACAGTTTTTTGTCTTGTGAACATGAAGTTTGATGTGTAGAACCAATTGTCTATCATCGTCTATCGGTTTAAGAGAAGGACAGAATATGGATCTACAAACAACATCCATATTTCTACATAACTTCACAACCCTTAGCTTGAAGTACAGTACACGATATTATTTTAATACTGTCATTTGATTTAGATCATTTTATCATTATTAGGTTCATACACAATAATTTATCTGGCAAATGATAAAACAAAGCATCTTAAAGTGTTTTGCTTGTGTCTTTCCCCATAAAGGCAACATACTGTAATTACAAATAATTAGCAGTCATTTAAAAAGATGCATAACAAGATTTGCCAAGATGACAACTGGGAAGAGATAGGGAGCAAAATTAATTTGGTGGCCAGTTTTTATCATGTTCATCTGGTAATGGAATTGTAACAGTTACTCTCTTGATCATTAAGGTATTACACATTGAGGTCCTGTAGAATGGCAATATGCAACCTTCAAATATTAAATACTTATGAGGTTAGGTTAATGTTAGGATTAGTTTTAGTGTTCAAAATTCTAAATGACCAAATATCAATTGAACATTTATTTTTAAAACTTAAGAGTCATTAAATGCACAAATACTGTGAGGTACCGATTCAAACTTTCCCTGTGTAACTCTTTTACAACTTGAGAGTTTTAATTTCCAACAGCATTTATACATTGGTGTCAGCTTTTATAAATAGGAACATCCTCAAGTCTTCCTGTCACATTTTAAACCTTTTTTTATCTTTTACAACTACACTGGACAAAAATCTTTATTACAGAACTCACTCAGTGTAGCAGTCTACAGTAGGTGGCCAACAAATCCCACTAGAGCACCTAACCAGGTCATTACTTCTCTCAGCCGATGGACAGCAACTTACTAAATGAGGGATTCAAACAAAAAGTTGAAAGAAGAAAGATGGACTCACCCAGAGGTAGCCTTGGGGCAGGGAGGTGCTGGCCGCTGAGAATCCCAGCAGAGCGCACTGGACTGGGTTGTGAAGAGCAGCTTCTAGCTAAAAATGGAAGAGAAACTTAAGTTGAATGTGAAGCGAATCTGAATGAATGTGTGAGTGTGAAAGCTGCTCTGATGTGATCTGAGCAAGCTGGTGACTCGGGTAGCGATAAAAACACAAGAAAATGGCAACAAGGAGAAGCCGATGCAGCGGATGGCTTCCTCTGCATTGTGTCCAATGAACACCTAGGCACACCAGGTAGAGGTCTGCGATTTTATTTCCTTATAGAACATAAAACACGTGGGCGTTACACATGCTAAATGTCTCTCTCTGTCTCCCGATTGGCGTCTGAGGAATCACCAGAAAAACGTGACGCCTATGATGCCCAGGGTGCACCTTAATTGACGCCCCACCAACAACAAAATCCCAAGGTATGTCGCAAAGCCAACTATATACTGTACATAAAAACTGAACTAATTTTGGGGAAGTTCATAAAAATAAAATAATAAAATAACATAAAATAAAAGGTTATATAACCATGGCTCAACACACCTGGCTACACCTAGCATTCCCCCTTAATGAAAAGCCTTGCGAATGGAGCTGGGATCACCAGATCAACACTAGATTTAGCCTGTGGTGGTCAGGGTTCAGATCTCTTCCCAAGCACAGCTAGAGTAGGTCTGGTTTTGGAGCAGCTCTAACATGTAAAAGACAGTACCTACAGATCCATCACAAAGTCTGTCAGGAAGATGTTTGCACCTGAAAATCGGGAAATATACAGGTCAAGGGACTGAGCTAACCTTCTTTTCACAAAGGGCCATGCGCACAGAGCTTTTCCTCCAGGCTCAGACAGACATATTTGTTTCAGAAAAGGGCAGAAAAAGGCTCCTAGTGACACACATCCCAGAAGAAACAATTAAATCGCCAACTGGGAGAATCAAGAAAACATTAAACGACTTGTTCCAACTTCATATAAATGCAATTAATTCATTTATTGTTCTTGTTTAAGACGGTTGTAGATAGGGGACAGATGGCGAGAAATGGCTCTAACTGCACCATATCCTGGAGGAGGCTAGCTAATTGAAATCCCCTCACAGCTTCAGACTGAGCTCAGAATCTGGGATCAAAAGGCATGCCTAGATAATCAGAGAAACCAATCACATTAAGGACAGAAGGCTTTACACAAAGACTGCTGTATCTGTTGCTTTTGCCTAGCCCATGTGCCAGGTCTCTCTACAAATCAGAAAGATGGCAGACGGTCTGCTGACCAACAAGATGAGTGTGGTGGACCCAGTGGCCTTCCTCTCACTCTGACAAGGACAGAACCAAACACCTTCCTCACCCCACTGACTGGCTGGAAACCCGCCCAAGTGGAGGCAGTGTGACAGCTGACCGGCTGGTGGAGGCAGCATGGTGTTTGGTGATGAGGAAGGAAGGGTGTTGTGGTAGACAGACGGTAAATTTAATTGCTCAGCGGGGGGCAACAGCCTTCTGCCCTTTAATGCTGCTCCCAAATAAACGGAGTATAAATCAGAAACAATTAATTGCTGCACCCCCCTACCTCCACCCCCTTAAGACCTATACACAAACACAAGCATACAAATACCAGCCAGATGATGACTTCATCCCATCTGTCCAGCCCGAGTCTCACTCCCCCACCCTCGCCCCTGCTACGATTTTTATATTTATTTAAATTTATGGAGCAGATGCACTGACTGTTCTGCCTCTCTATCTCTCTCTTTTTTAGTTTTCCTTTATCCCCCCTCCACCTCTAACAACAACAGCAATTTCTAATTGGTAATTAAACGACAGCCATAAACGGCCGCGTATGGAGGTCTTGAAGGTTTGTAGGAAAGGCAGGATAATGGATCGCTTGGCTCTCGGCCTAATTATGAGGAGGAGATGTCTTATTTTTTCACACACAAAAAAAGAAAACGTTTACTCCTCTGATTCAATGGCTGGTCCCTCTGCTTCGAAGGCAGTCCAGAACATACTGTAGATACCAACCCACTGTGCAGGTGACATTTATAGTGGACTGTGACCCAAACAATTTACTTTTACCAAAGCATCACTGCTTTAATCATCCAAAATAGAAACAGATTTGGATTTCATCTTTTTGATGGGCATAATGCAATACGAGATACTGAACAGCTTTTCTCCATAGTGCATAGACAGATGTACTGGGAGTTAGCTTGTGAAAACAACTGAAGAATATGACCTTAACATTAGCCCCAACTTTCCACACATACTTAGATGTTATGAAAGACCTTGAATAGCACTTTAATCTAGTGCCGTTTTGAGTAGGAGTATTCTTTCAATCTCATTTAACACAGCAATTTTGATTACTACTTGGCAGTAATATTACATTTTCCTACTGCTGAGACGCAGGGAAAAAAGGCATTTACAATGTCTTTGCAGGTTTAGTTTGAAATCATACTTATTTGCTCTCACCTGCAAATTGTTTTCTTGAATGAGAAAGCAACCATATACAATACATCCTCAAATCGCAAACTGTGTTGTCAAAACTAATCTGAAAGCATTTTTTTTTATTTGGCAATTGGTAATCATTTCACTGTATAGGTATTTTTTAACAGCTGCCAGTTTTAACCAATCCTAGATGTAAGACTTAAAACCAAGGAGACGGTTTTAGTTGTGTTGCAATGTAAGTGAAATATCTTACGTGTTGTACTATTGTACTACTGTACAGAAAGAATAAATTATGTCAAAACCCCTCAGATGAGAAAAGGACAAATAAAAAAGAGTGTATGAAGAGGCGGGTAAATTAAATAAAAACTGAAAATTAAATTTCTCAACATTGTCAAATAGGAAACCTGTCGCTGTACCTTTATATGACAGTTCAACCTCAGTGGGCTGAGCTGCTGACATCCTCCAGCCCACTAGGTGGCGATGAATATATCTGTGGGGCTGCTACAGATGGGTACACAGCAGAAGGCACACTGATCAATGGTGTTCTATGCAGTGCATGGTTGTCAAAGCAAGGGAACCACACGTATCAAATAGTGACAAAAGCCATTCAATTACTGGATACATGTACTTTTTCATATAGCTAGCTAGCTTCAAACTCACCAGTTCTCTTGTTACAATGTTGAATTGTCAGCATAGTTCTGGATATATTTATACAGAAGCAGTGAACTTGTTTTGAATTTTGCAGACCTGTTGGTGTTCATTCACTCTGTAATTCAATATATTTAATCATTCATTTTATTCTTGAATGTACTTCAGAAATGATTCATAAAATGTTCATTTTAATTACAGTTATTACTAGATAATACTTCAATCTTTATTTTAGAGTTCCATTCATAAAAATGCACAAGCAAGTGACAATTAATCTGTTTTCAATAAATGAATAATGGTACAAGAGCCATAATTATGCATTAAGCAAGAATTTGTGGGCAATTATATTTTGAATTTCAAGATGAAGTTTTCCATAATGGATAAACTTTTATCTTGTGCTTTAAAGTACCAAGACAAAGACCTAGTCAGCAGTTGTCCTTTAATAATAATAGGATCTTTTCATTTTGTCTTACATGTTTGATGATTCATTAATTTGTTCTGTTCAGTATGTGCATAGAAGTAAAATGTATTTTCTCCTCTTTCACACACCAGTTAATCTGTACTTAGGGCATTCAAACTTTTGCAACCCAGATACTACAGAAACATCATTTTCACCACTTCATTTCTTGAAGGTATCACCATTCAATTCACCATGTGCCGCCAACTTGCACTTCAAACTAGCAATTCCCTGATCACTGGACACTTCAGTGGTGTCATTACATACTTACAAAGTTGTGTTGTAGTTGTAGATGGTGGTCTGACTAACTTTTGTCTTGATGATTGCCACAATCCCATACAGCACCAGAACACCACATATCAATACCCCTGCTATTTTTCATGGACAGGGTGGCAAGCCATTATACACTTAATTACTGTGACTTAAGTAATCAATTAGCAGTAACCCTTAATCTTTCAATAATCTTTGCACTGGGGAATATCTTCAAAGCTGAAAGTTTTGGGGTCTTCTATTGAATTGTTTCAGAGTCCAAGTGTTCTCATCAGCAACCAAACAAGATGCAAACTTCTCTTAAGTGCTAAAGAGCTCCAGCTTTCATCTGATTGCAGAAACTGTTGGGCAAATCGAGTGCTTCCATGGGCTATACCAAACTCTTCTGTTAATTCAGTGATCAAATGTGTTCATACTTCCAGAAGGAACTTCAGGACTGGTCAGGTACTGTATGATGGTCACCTGACCTGTTCTGAGATCATCTTTGATCAATTCTTGGTTGCAGTAGCTATTCCTATCATCTAGAAAATAGTAATTACAGTATATTCTTATAATTTCAATTACATTAGAAAGAAATGGAAACAGTTCATGCGATGGTACAATATGTACACTCCATACGAACTATCTTCTATAACATAATTAAACTGCTTCCACGTTACTCACCTAGTCAACATATCAGCACTGATGAAATATTACATTTCAAATCTTTAATAAAAAAAGAGATTAAGGAACTGAATCTGTAGCTTGTCCTTGGCGTGAGAGTAGCTGAAGGCAGATAAGTTGCAAGATTGAGTTATCCTTTCATTTTCTCTCTCTCAGACTGACTGTCACTTTATTGATTAATTTGGTGGAGTGTCACTTAATTTAAAGAAAATATCAAACAAACCTGCATAATAATACATAGACACTGGGATTAAGTGGCAGGAACTGGCGGCAGAATCAATCTTTCTGTCAGCTCAAAGCTAACTAGGCGAGGTAGCCTTACAACCATTAACACACAGCCGGATGCAGACAGACCACTGTTTCAAGATTGACAGGCACAGGAAAGCCCCAGTTTGACTCTTTGAAAATGCTTAGATGTACAAAAAACAATGCAGCCAAAAAAAGGCTCAAAACGTGTTCTTAAATGGCATTCAGAAAATGCATCACAATGTGCTACCTACTCCAATGTACCAACATTGACATAGTACATTTGAATAAATTTGAGCACTAACACTAACCCTTCGCCTAAACCAAAATAACAGTGCATATATGCTTG